TTCATTTCACTCCAAGCTTTCTCTCTTAGATATTTCTCACTTGTGTAAAATATCAGCAGAGATGCTAGATACACAAATAAAGTGTAGACCCTTTGTACACAAGCTCCACCCATGCCACCCACGAGGAGCTGCAATAACACCTGAGTCTTTGCTAACTTCGAGACCATGCAGCATTCTTTAAATTTTCATTTCCTTGTCTTTTCGGGATCATCATCTATCTGTTGGTGGAATGGGTCATTGCATTAGTAAAATTTTGGAATGCCACATGCCCAGAAAATTCCTAGGAGAAATATGGTCGTAAAAATAAAATCACACTACTGGGAGAAAAAAAAAAAAGCAACAACAACAACAGAGACAAACACATAAATTCAAGCAATAAAATGCATCTATTGGGAATGACTGGGGCAAGGTAAAGGGCCCTTTCTACATGCCAAACTGAAATGTTCTGTTAAGTTTTAAGAAATCATGTTTACAGCAGATATAAATTAAATTAACTGTGAGGCCCTAAAATAAAGCAGCTGTTATTCATCTCCTCTGTCACAGAACAAGAGGAAAGGCTGGTCAGAGGTAAGGAAGGCTCTTTTCTTGATGGTGAGACATATAACAATGCTGAGGGGATAACGAGGAGGCAGGAATGTTTCTCCTCCCATACACGGTTAAAGGGCACAGAATTCACAAATTTTACATGTGCCTTGAAGTCCTTTGCCCTTGACAAAGATTTCATAATAGCCCTTTGTTTCTCTGCGTTAAGCTATTCCACTCCAAATAAATGGAGCTCCTTCTACATAGCGACAAGATTACAAATGCACAACTAAGACAATTGTAAAAACAAATCGGCAAATTAATCCAAAGTGAAAATGATCACCTGGTCCTGTGCTGCAGTAGGTTGGCTTAAGGCTGAGGAAGTGAGTGAGTGAAGGGATCTCTGACCCCACAGGCTGCAAGCCCATGACTAGCAGCTGAGCTAACCAGAGTCATATAATGCCTGGGTCACCCCTGTCTCTACTTTCTGGTCTTGCCTTCCTCAAAATGCTGCGTTTGTGAGGGTAATCCAGAGTACCTGCCTTGCTCACTAACACTGCCCCATCACCCATCAACCCCACTCCCTTGGGCTCTGCAAACAGCAAATGAAAATGCAGAAAACAAGAAAGAAAAGAATGTGATATTTGGGAAATGTGGCAGGAATCCAGAGATGTCCTATGAATCATATTGAATTCTGCTTGTCTAATGAGGTTTGATTCATATAAATGAACAAAACATTTTGGGTTTTTAGTCAACTCCAATGTACTGTATAAAACAACATTTCAGAGATAATAATTCCTTAAAGTTACAAAAGCATCTTCAACTTACAAAGTTGTCTGGAGGGATTTTTACTTTTGTTTTCTTTTTGGCTTGGTTGGTTTGTCTATTTTATTTTGTTTTATCACTGACCACTTTTAATACAATCGTTTGTAGATTCAGTGTGTGTGTGTGTGTACATACAACACAGGCATACCTCAGAGATATTATGGGTTTGGTTTTAGACCATTGTAATAAAGCAAGTATTGTAAAAAGTGACTCATAATCTATTTGTTGGTGGAGAGTCTTGCCCTCACTTTGCAAAACACGCAACATCTGTAAAGCACAATTAAGCAAAATGCAATAAAATGAGGTCTGTCTTTATATAAAAAAGATTATACCCATGACCAAGTGGGATTTATCCCAGAAATGTGAGGGTGATTCAACATACAAAAAAATCAAACTATGTTATATGCTCTATCAATAGAATAAAGGACAGAAACCACATGATTGTCTCAATGGATGCAGAAAAAGCATTTGACAAAATCCAAAACCTTTTCATGATAGAAACACTAAACATGTTAGGAATAGAATGGAAATCACTCAGCCTGACAAAGGGAATCTATAAAAAAAAAGAGAAAGAAAGAAAGAAAGAAAGAAAGAAAGAAAGAAAGAAAGAAAGAAAGAAAGAAAGAAAGAAAG